GTTCAGGAGGGTGTTACTTAATTTCGATGTGTTTATGTAGTTTTTGTGGTTTCTTTTGCCATCAGTTTCCAGATTTCATTGATCTGCTTATACTCATGGGAATAATTTAAATTCCCTTGCATTTACTTAAGCATATTCTATGAGCTGGTATGTAGTCTATTTTGAGGAAAAGTCCCATGTGCAGCTGAGAATATTTATGTTGTTACAGGGTGGCATGCACTGTTCTTATCTACTGTCTGTTTTTTCAAAGGTTTAGTTCAGCTCTTTCCTTATAGATGATTTATTCCTTTTCTCTAATAGCTTGTAATATTCTGCTCTTGTTTTAATTTCTGGAATCTTGACTATTATATACCTTGGTGTAGTTTTGTTCTGATCATAGCCAATTGGAGTTCTGTATGTTTCACTTATTTGTATGTCAAATTCTTTTTCCATGCGTGGGAAGTTTTTTTGCCATTACTTCTGCGAACAGGACTTTTATGTCCTCTATGCTATTTGCTCATTTTTCACTGAATCCCAAGTAATCTTGTTATTCTTTGCATCATCTAGCAATCTGATGGATTTTTCAGTCCACTATTTTTAAGAAATCTTTCTTCATGATCACTAACACAAATCTGTCTTCTAGATTTGAATGATTCTGCTGCACATACTTCCAAAAGAATTTTTAATCTCCTGGATATGTTTGAATCTGTTTTATGGTATTCCGTTCTTTCCTATGTTGGTCGTTCATGGTTTCCACTACTTTCCTAAGCTCCATTCTTTACCTGTATCTATCACCATGTCCTTCATTATAGTCATCATCTCTTTAGTTATCTGTGAAATTATTTCAGATTTGGTTTTTTTCTAGTTATTCATTTGCTTTGTTACCTCCACTGCTGCTATTCATAAAGTTCAGCTGGGTGCTTTTGAATCTTCCACCTCAATACCCCCTAGGTTTTCCTTGGACAAGCAGGTCTGGGGTTGCATCTTGCTTCCATGTCTTCTCATTTTCTATTTTTTTGTGTGTGTGTTTTTGTTTTGTTTTCTGCATTGGTGCTTATAATTGTCTATGGTAGGTAGCTTTATTACTAGTATTGAGACCTCCTTAGAAAATGACTACTTTTCAGAGATGTCTTCTACATGTAGCTGAATTTTGGCTTTTGAGTCTTTCCCAAGATCCTGCCTCTTCAGTTTATTAGGGTGAGAAGTTGCTGCCTATTTGGCCTTACACCCAGCTCTTTGGTACTAGACTATGGTATTGTTTATGATCCCCATATAACTTCACTATTGGCATACAAGGAAAAATAATTGATCACAACTATGTCACCTTGGCTGAAGTAGTACAATCAGTAATAATATCAAACAGAGGCTAAAAAAATGACAAACTGTAGTAACTTAATTTGCCAGCTGTAACCACAGGTACAGGATTTATAATTATATAACAAAATCTAAAACAAGTCAGAAAATTATATACAGCAAATATCTCCTTGCTATAGCAATTTACCTCAGGGAAGAAAATGTAAAAGGTATATGACGAAAAATTAGAAAAATAAAAGAAGAGAAAGAGATTAGAAGCAATGGGGCTCCAATTCTCCCTTCAGATCCTTTCTGGGTCCCAGGAATCCACCTCCCTCGTTTTCTTCCCCAAGAAGTGTCTGGATTCTGAATCTCAAAGAGGCTGATCCGCTGCTATTTACTGTCCTGCCATCTTCCCAGAAATCAAGTTTTGGTCTTCATTAATAGAGTGACCTAATAAATACAGAGATGATTTTACCTACAGAGTCTTCGTGGGAAAACATCAGTGTTGGCCTCCTTCTCTGTGACTTTACAGTAGTGAGACAGGAGCTAGGAGAGGCCAAAGTCTTGAAAGGATCTTCAAGTAACCACACCCAGAAAAGGGATGGAATAGTCTTTGACAGACAGGTAGATGATGCATCCAAAAACTTGGGTTGGCACTCTCCTTGATGCAAGGTCTGTTAAAGGCAAATCCATTCTATTACTGCCTGCCATTCCTGCCCCAACTCCTTCCTTGCCATACCAGACCAGGACAGTTCATTTCCCCATGCCTTTGTCTAGCCCAGCCTCTCTGTCTCAAACTTCCTCCAAGGGCTTCCTGGGAGATTCCTAACAACTTTTCAAGGACAACCTCTAAAGCCTCCTCCGGGAAGCCTTCACATTTTATAGTTGAGAAAAGTAGGTTCAAATCAATCACTGCTAGAGCCAGGATTTATATCATTCTGCCTAAATAGGAAGCCAGTGTCAGAAAGAGAAAAGGCAACGTCTTACCTACATACAGGTTGTTCCTAAATTTGCAATGCATTCTGTATGAGCAATCTACTCAATGATGGAATATAGGTCTTACCTTTTCATTCTATGGGCTTTTTTCCTTCCTTCCAAAGAGTAGATACTTCACAATCCCTACCCCAGATCTAATGCCATAGAGATGCAAGGATCTTGTCAAAAAAGAGACTACAGCCTGACCAGTCATTCCAGTCAACACAGCAATGGGTCATTGCTACAGCAAATCCCAGACTTTCCCTGCCAAATAAAGCCTAGCTTAGCTGACCTCAAAACTGATTTCTGGCCTACTAGTATATAGAGGAGCAGGTGCACAATATACCTGGACTGACCTAGTAACATATGACCAGATGTAACTCCAAATGGCAGCCTTCCAGCTCTGTAAAACTAAAAACCCACTCATACCACTGGAGGGTATGGGGTGGGGGTAAAGGCGGAGGACACATGTTGTCATTTACCCAGAAGGAATCTGACTTGGAACTTAATAGGCTCCAGGAGTGCACAGGCAAGGCACAGAGATGGCACTCTTGTAAATGCCTTACTGGTCTAAAAAGAGTGCACAAGCTAGAGCTCTTTCCTCACAGATATTACGCTGTTGCTAAAAGTGTGTACTAGTTAAAAGCAAAAAAAACTGTTTAAGGGATAGATGTATGGATCGCTACTTTATGCCAACTCAGAGAAAATTCCTACAGACAGAAGAGAAAGGAATCAATAAAATATTAAGATCAAGACCAAACCCTTAGCATTCAATGGAATTCCATAATTTTCCATTATACACTATATATAAAAACACAACTTTGGAAGAAAAATATCTTTTCTGCCTGCATTTTGCAAAATGAAAAAATTTATCCGTGTAAAAGGACAAATTTTGTTTTAGAAAGAAACTGTACAATCCTCAAATCTTTAATTAATGATGAATCTATTACTTTCCAAGCCCCCCAAACAAAGCCTATAAGGAGAAAAGACATACAAGCCAGATCTTTTGAAATGGGCTACTGAACCATAAAGAATAAACTAAAGAACAAAACTAAGACTCAGACATTAGAAAACAGATGTTGGAGTACACTTCATAATTTCTCACAGACTTTTTCCAGACTAACAAAAATAGCTGTAGATTACCTTAACAAAACTGTTCTTCAAGAAAGTGCTACAGCTGTCAAGTTTGGAAGACTACGTTCTATGGTGAAACCAACAAGCCCACACAAATTAAGTGCCTTACTCTCAAAAGTTATTCAACGCCTTTAAAAAATATACTCGATGTACATAAATTAAATAATGCAAGACCATTGGATGATGTTACATTTGCCAAAATAAAATTAAACAACTCCCAAAATATTATCTATGCAGCAATATTTGGGTAACAAGAAGCAAACAACCAAGTCCCTCAATCACAGAAGTTCTCATCCAAATTGTAATGTTCTAATGGATGGTGTAAGAAAGCAAAGCATAGAAACTGGGAGTTAAAAATCAACAGTGGTCTGCCAACAGCGGTCATCTAGGTTAATCAGTCATCATTGTTCCTACAATAAAGTTTGATTCAAAACCAAAAATGATGTATACAGACTGGAAATTTGCTGTTGGAAGCTGAAAAAACAACACTAATAACCTTGTGCTACAATTGGCTATCAAAAAAATAAGTATCACTGACTTAGGAAATGTGGAGTTAATCACATAACAGCATTTTATAGCACAATGGGGAAACAGTATGACATTAGCAATTTACGCAATTAAAAATGATTTGTAACTTTCTCAGTGGCTTTATGTTAGAACTTCATTATATATTAAACATACATTATTACCAAAAAAAATTCTTGTTTACTTTTCCCCAAATTTTCTACAAACTTATTGAAATATATTTCTATTTCCTTTTTAATGCTAAAAAATACTAAGATAAAATCAAAATCAAGATATTGTTCACAGACAACAGTCCAACCACATCAGCATTTTTTTAGAGGTAAGAACTAAGGAAGCTGTGCTCCCCATGAGGAGCAAGTGTCTTTTTCATACTAACACTTAGCTGACTTACTCTCTTGCTACTCTCTTTTTTACTTTGCCACCTGGGAGCTCAAAGCCAAAATTTCAGTTAAATCTTTCAAGTAGATCTTTAGTGTTAATTTTCTATTCTATTTATATTTGTCTTATCCTGATTTTATGTTTCTTCTACTTTGTAACTTTTCTCAGTTTGTCAAAATTTGTTGTCTACAGATCTGTGTAGAATGAGCCAGGCATGCATACACTGATACAAAATAACTGATGACTCTTAGCCAGGTTTGGTGGCTCACATCTGTAATCACAGAATTCGGGAGGCTGAGGCAGAAGGATCACTCTGAATTCAAGGCCAGCTTAGGCTACGTAGTGAGTTCAAGGCTAGCCTGAAATACACAGTGAGACCCTGTCTCAAAAAAGAACAAAAAACAAAACAAACAACTGGTGACTTTTAAGGACTGCTGTAGCCCATGCATTGCATGTTTTGACCCTACATTTTATATAGTTCTTTGATTAGGACATTAAATAAAACTATTATATTTAAACTCTTTCTCAGATTTAAAACAAAATAAAAAAATACACAAAACTGCAATATCTCCCTGTAAAACACATTAATAATCCATATTTTTTTAAAATCCTACAAGTCCCATAATAAAGCAGTTTTATTACTCAAGTCTTAAAATTATATATATTTTTTTTTTTTAAATTATCAAAAACCCATCCCTACCCCACCCTCCCTTCAAACTAGAAATGGTCAAAGGAGCACCAAGCTCAACAAAGGCTATCACAGATATGAATCAGAAAAAAGGAGTCCCCAGAGGTCAAGCATACAGGGTCACTGCACATCCTACCAGTGCACACCACCTAACTGCTAGAGAAGGAAGAACAGAAACATCGAACATAAAAAACGGAAAGGGAATTAGAAGGGGCAGTCTGAAGAAAGATCTTTATAACAATTTGAAAATATTAAGGGTGCCCACCAAGTCCAAGAGAGCAGACAAGCTGCACCAAGTAAGGTCTCTGCCAGGCCCTCCTCTCAGGGATCATTAGGGAGCCCAAACAGCTTCACAGTTCCAGCTTCCCGGCTGCTGTCATATTTGCCATCTTTGTCATCACAGGCAAATGCTAGCAGAGGCCTTTTGGGGTGCCATGCCACGGTGAAGGTTGGGGATTCACACTGTACCTCCCACAGCTTGTCTCCTATAGAAATCAATACAGAGAAATCAATCAATGTTAATAATAAGAGGCCACACTCACTAGATACTTCCATTAATTCATACAACCCACTCCATAACCTGTGAGATAGGGGCAATCATTACCTCATTTTATAGAGAACACTAAAACACAAAGAGGTCACAAGCTAGCAGGTGGCAGAGCCAGGTCTGATTACCGGGAAGCTAACTTAAACATTTCTCATCTGAATCCTTTTTTATACTCTGGAAAAACAGTAACAGCAGCTACCATTTGTTGAGTACCATTAAGTACCATATGGCTTACATTTATTTGAATACCAGTGACAGCCCAGTAAGAAAGGTAATAATTTTAAACCCTATTTAATAATAATAAAGAGGTAAGCCTGTAATCCCAGCACTCAGGAGGCTGAGGCAGGAGGACTGCTGTGAGTTTGAGACCAGTCTGGGCTACACAGTGAGTGATCCAGGTCAGTTTCAACTACATAGTGAGACCCTGTCTCAAAAAACCAAATAAACAAACAAATAAATAAATAAAAAGAGGCAACCTGATGTCACATCTCACGGAAACAGAGACAGTACCTGAAATTGGTCTGTCTCCAAAGAAACAGATATAGCAAACCCAATACCTCTCAAATAGATTTTTCCCCCAAGTTTTCTTGTTCCACACTGGAGATATATATACTTCAGTGTTATAACACTTGTCTAGCATGCTCCAGGTCTTGGGTTTAATAAACAGCAGAACAAAAGAAATTTTTTTCTTTTTCTGACGTTGAAATTGTACATAACTTTTTCAATGCTCTTATTTCTTTAGCTCTGCTTAACTTTTTTCAATCTTTAAGATCAATGTAATAAAATGCATATAGTGGTCAAACAGGTGCAAATTCTATCTCAAAGCTATAAAATATATACATAATTAACTGATTACAGAAACAGCTCACATTTTCCCTAACAAATCACTCTCCATGATAACAAGCTCTAGCTATCTACAGCTGTATGTCTGAAAAAATCTACGAGTTATATGGACACAAAAAATTGTTTCTGAAGCTGCTACACCTCTTTCATTTTTCTTTAGGCCTTTAATTCCACATCATTTATTATGGGATTTGTTAAGATAAAAAAATTTACACAGTTAACGAAAACCAAAGTAGACATGAAGAGACCTTCGAAAATATTCTCAAATAACCATGTAGCTTTCTAAGCTTAACCTCTTACAATTTATTGGAAAGCATGAATGATATATGTGGTGCTGTATAAGACTGACATTTCATTCCAGACCATCAAAATTTAAACAGATTGATGCAATGTGTATGCTGTCTGAAAAGCTGGACTAACTGAACTATATTAAAATAAGATGCTATTCTATATGCTATCAGGAATAAAACTAGTTAATTCGTATTCTGTCTTACATTTAACTATTAAAAATATTTAGGATACAAAATTGTATCTTCTATGCTATTCACTCCAATAAAATAAAAGTACATATGATGGGGAAAACACAGATTGTAAAGACTTTTTTTTTTGGTACTAGAGATTTGAACTCAAGATCTTGCGCTTGCAAAGCAGGCATGGTGCCACTGAGCTAAATCCCTGGCCCCTTTAAAGAAATATTTTAAAATGTTAGTAATAATTAAATTTAAATTATGAACCTATAGGTGACAATTACTTCTTTATGTTTGCAGCATTTTCCAAATGTAATAAGCACACATATTATTCTAAATTTACAAATCCATATATGAAGATGTTATTTCATATAATAAAGCGCATAGAGCAGTGCTGCATAACTAAACCATGCAATGGCAAGATCCTACTCTGCTCTGTCCAGGATAGCAGCACTAAACCACATGTGGCTACTGAGTCCCTGAAATGTGACTAGGGTGACTAAGGAATTGAAATTTTAATTTTAATTTCAATAATAACCAATAATTGAATAACAATTTAAGTTAAACTTTATCCTTTTTCCCTATCACATGATCTTCTCCCACTTTTGTACATCTAACATAGTCTTCCAAAAGCTCTTCTACCAATTAAGTTTGAATTTCTTCACCTAAATATGTACACATCTCATGCAGATTGGCTACTTGCTTTTCTCCTTCATCAATATGACTTCTGTACCTACCACTTCAGCACATATAGAGCATGTTTTTTCTCTTAGCACATGGATACATTAACTTAATTATTCCCTTCCGAAGGAAAATTTAGGCTTCCCTATTTATACACAAAACAGTGCCGCAAAAAACATAATTGCGTTTTGACAATCACCTTGCTTTTAATCTTTAACCTAGGTTAGACAGAAAATAAAATATATATTTTTAAAAGTTTGTTAAACGATTCAGAATTTCTATTAGATATATTCCTGTAAGGCTATGTGTGAATTAATTCTTGCACTATCTTAATGCTATGACAAGTATCTGTTAAGTATTTGTTTTTAAAGCAAAAACCTTAATATTTCCTTAAATTTTTAAAAAAGCTTCTCAAATTTGAGATAGAAACATACCACAATGTTAGAAAAAAAATATTTAGAAAGTGATGCTTTCTTCCACTTCTCTATACTTAAAATCTTTATAATGAAATAATTAATAAAATATAAAATATTTTCCTAAATTAATTTTCTTCAGGCCTGCCACTCTCTTTTCTAAATCTTTGCTCCCTTATTACCTGGCAGTGACAATCATAACATACACAAACATGTCTTAAGAAGACAAATACATTTCTTAAAATGTTGGTGACATAAGGTTCAGTTGGAGACACATGACAAAAGAAGGCTTGCTGTCCATGGAGGAAAGACGGAAGGAATTCTTATTAAGTTACCTGTCTCTACTTCAGCTATATCAATAAAATGATCCTCTGAAGCTGACGCCAGCATTTTCCCATCATGGCTAAAACTGAGGGTCCTCACAGGCCAATCAAGTCTATAACAGGGGATGAACAAAAAGAGGAGGGTACAATTTTACTGAGGATAAAATAAAATTAAATTACCCAACAAGCAAAGTGCTGGCAGGGTTGCTTACCTGGAGAAGCACCGCACACACACTAACTCATCCACATCCCACAGACTGACCAAAGCATCTGCACTTCCTGTAGCAAAGTACTTCCCCATGGGGTCAAACTTGATACAGATGCAGTTAGAAGGATGGGCATTGATGGACTGCACTGGCTTCAGTTCTGGGTAGCTGAAAACAAGACAAACAACAATTAATCTGCAAAACAGAACTGTGGTGCGTGCTAAGAAAAATAGGAAACATAAAAGAAAAAAAATCAAGACAATACAAAAACCACAATTCAAGAAACTTTCCTGAAATACAAAAAAGACTTCATGTTATATATGGAAAGAGCCTAACACATACATGAGAATAAGAACCCTGACCAACCATCCAACATGAGGACACAAAGTAGTAAAATTACTCGATTCTAAAGAAAAAGAAAATTAGATTACTAGCAGACTTTTTCACAGCAAGACACTGTCAAAGAAAATGGAACATCATATATTTAAGATAACATAAACAAGAAAATACAAGCCAAGGATTTTTACATTCAGCAAAATAATCAAATATAAAGAATACAAATAGCCGGAGATTTAGCTCAGCAGTTCAGTGGCTTGCCTCACAAGTGCAAGAACCCGAGTTCAATCACCGGTATCAAAAAAAAGAGAATGCACATAAACACAAGAAAATGCAAATTTTGTAAGTACATAAATAAGTTGTAAGAACTCTAGTAATTGCTGAGCATGGTGGCACACATGTATAGTCCCAGCATTCTAGAGACAGAGGGATGAGATCACAAATTTGAGGGCAGCCTGGGCTACAAAGTGAGTTCAAGGCTAGCCTGGACTATATAGCAAGATCCTGTCTCACACAAACAAACAAAAATATCTCTAGGATAATGTTTCCAGAATGCTTCCTAAGGAATCTTAATTACACAACTTTGCCAATCAAAACAATTAGACTTACAAGCATAAGAGGTTCTTCTGGAAACTATGTATGGTTAAAAGGATGTATTTTTTAAATGAGGGATAACAGAAAAAGTATACACAAGAAGCACAATTTTTACTGTTTAAAATAATCACACTGTGATTACTGCAGTTTTGTCATTAAGACATGTGTATGTGTAAAATGGAATAAAGGCAAAAAAATAACAATAGGATAAACTAATTCTGTAATTCCCTGTATTCTTGAGAACTAAAATACTGAGTTTGGAAAGAAATATATTTATAATACAGAAGAGGTTCAGTAAAAAACCTATAGTCCTGAGTTTTAATTGGAAGTTACTGTCATGAATTCACAAGGTATTTCATCTTTAATTATGTACATTTTTTAAAACACACACACACACACACACACACACACAGTTCTTGTCTGTCAGAAATGCCTAGAAGCCACAACGAACGCATCAGCAATGGACATCCCTAGCTTCAATATTATTTTCCCTATAAAAGAATCTAAAGCTACTTAAAGGATTTTCTGGTTAGGGAATGGGGAAGGAAATACACAAGGTAAACTTGAAACATCTTATCCTATTAGACATCAAGAAAGAGATGACTACTGAAAGAGTACATCAAAAAAGGACTCAGATTGCTTCTCGGCCCTTTGGCTAAGAGCAAGTGTAAAAAAGGACTCAGAAATCAACTCAAAGAGGCTCTCCTTGGCCAAAAATGAGATGATCTGACCTCCAATAAGGATAATTATAATACACTAACCACATTCAACTATGTTTAAATGCAAATCAATAATGGTTGGTTAAAAAGAGAAAAGAAACCTAACTGGTCATCTTTGGAGGTGACAGAGAACAAATTCATTATCTGACAATAAACAAAGAAATTTAAGAATTTGTCCTGCCTTTCCTAAATAAACTATATTTATGGGCAACCAAATAGTAAATGAGAGACTGTATCACTTTTAAAATGTATCACTTTAAAAGTTTTCTCACAAGCCCATGGAATTTGAAGTGTTGACTGGAAGATTCTCCATTGGTTAAATCTTGGTTTGTGGGAAAAAAGAATGAAATTGAGCAGGACCCTGTAGTCTAACAGACACAAAAACTTACCAATTTTTTTTTAAATGAACAAAAAGAGTATCTAAGGATGTAGTCTTAGTAAATAAAACAATAAAACTTAAAAAGTCAAGGTAGTGCTTACTTTTTGAGGGAGAGAGTTGTAATTAGGAAAAAAACCTATGGATGGAATTCTGAGGTGGTTGGAAAGTACTATTTCTTGATCTGGGTGGAGTTAAGCATGTAAATTCATTAAACTATGCAATTGTAAAATCTGTATAATTAAAATATTATTTTTTTAATTATAGAATCCCTATTGCCTAAAAAATAAAATCCATGTTGATAGGTACAGAATTTAAGACCTTTTATACTTTGGTCACTTTATATTCCTTTTATTATGGCCTCTTCACGTATCCTACCTGTCACCACACCTCAACAATCTTGACCTAACTACTCCCCAAATATGTCACACTCATTCAAACCTTTTTCATCAGCTGGGTACTTCCCATGTGCAGATTGTTAAGTTCTATTCACCTTTCAAGATCAAGGTCAGAAGCTTCCTTTTACAACTTCCACAGTCATTATGATATGGTCTTTTTTGGGATTCCATTGTAAACCTTTTGCCTTTTTAGCACAGAACCTATCTCACTCTGCCTTCCACTATTCACTGGGATAGTAATAAGAATAGAACTGAACAGACCTGAACTTCAATTCCACAATTTCATCTATTTAGAAAACAAATATTTACTGAGATCCTACTATAACAACAGATAATAAGCTAGGCATTAACAATTCAGTAGTAAACATAGCAGCACAACCTCTACCATCAAGGAATTTACAGTTTAATGGGGGAGACAGGTAAGTAAACATGCAATTACAATATAAATGAGAAATGCTCCCTACAGGAGTACATAAAATAAGCCTCTAAACTTGGGGATCAGGAATGACGGTGATGGCTTCACTAGTGGAAAAGTGCTTTTAACAGTGAAACTTTGAGTACAAATTAGCCACAATTCAAAGTGCATGTGGCCCTTCATCAATTAGAAAGCATACAATCAACTACTTGGAATTTCTGAGAATACAATAAAATAATAAAGTAACTAGTTCAAATATGCCTAATAGAAGTTAGACTTTTTTTTAACCACTTATAAGTCCTTCTGCAGTGTCCTATCTAATTCATCTCTCCATCTGATATGGCACCCACCCAGAACAAAGACATGACAGTCTCCCAAGCTTGAACCCTGTTACCTGAGAATGTTGATACAACCATTTCCATTTGTCAGGAAGAACATATTGTTGTCATTGTTCCAGGAGATTTCATTGACCTCAAACTTGAATTGTTCCTCTGCTTTGGAACGGTGTGTCTTGGCATCAATAAAGGTCACTACATCATCCTTGTTGCCTACAGCAATGGTCTGCCCATCAGGACTCCAGCAGATATTAATGTTCTCCCCTGGAATCACAGATATAATCAGCAAGAGCAAGATCACCTGTTTTCCCATAATCCTCCAGAAGTTTATTCTATTTTCCTAAAAGACCAGAGCTAACTTCAAAGCTCTATTTATTAAGGCTCTAAGAGAACTACACTCATGAAGTAAAAACTGAGTCTAGAACATTCATGTAAAAATTTCCCATTTGGTCCTCATAACACTTTGCTAAGGTCTACTTTACATCCACAGATGAAGTAATGAATGAGAAGAGGGTGCACCAAGCTGTCAAAGCTATGAAGTTACACAGCCAAGATTTACACCCAGACTAGAGCCAAAAGCCCCACATTCTCTCCATCAGTATTTCTTAAACTCCATTCATATGCCACCTTCCTAATTTTTGTTCTAGCTATGTAAGTGTTATACTTTTCTTTATTCACCATTGACTCTAAATTTACTTAAACTTAGCATCAATGAGAAATTCTATGAGCTAGTTTTCTTCTAGTAGGAATTAAATACATATTTAAAGGGATTTATGTTCATCTATGTGCCACCTAAAATCACTCATCTATCAATAGTTGTATAACTGGGGAAAACTACACCATTCCATCTCCATGTTTGAGACTTATCAACAAAGTCCACAAGTCCAAACTGAATGTACAAATTTAAAATTTCAATTTTACCGACCCAAAAAAGGTTTTTTTTTTTTTACACTTTATCTACAGTACATCTTAAATTTTTATCTGGTTATATCTCAAATTTTTATGTGTTTATCTTGTACCTTGCCACATAAAATTAGTGCATCTAACATTCAATGACAAATGAATCAATTATGAGAAGTGGTCACAAGATTTGCAGGATAATACCTGATATGAACAGAGTCTATACACGTACTACCCACTTTCTGGTCATTTTTTTCTAGATCACCAAGACCACTGACACTCCAGTCATGTTAATCTATCTGAACTTCCCAAATTCTCCTCACTCACTACATCCTGACTGCTAAATTATTATAGCTACTCAAAAAGAGTGCTCATATGGCCAGGTATGTAGCTCAGTGGTGCTGGGCCTGCCTGGCAAATGCACGGTCCTAAGTTTGATTCCCAGTATCAAGAAAAAAAAAAAAGAAGAGTACTCAAATTTTATGAAGCCTTCTTTGCCTCCCCCATGTGGACATAAACATTTTCATTCTGGGTACCCACTTGTAAACATCATATTGTTATTTTTATGCCTGTGACTCTGACCACATTAAACCATAAGGCTGTTAGAGGTGGAGACTGTCTTATTCAGCTAGCAAACATGTCCAAAAGAACATATTCAGTGAAAGGTTGTTGAATGAATGCAAGTAGCTATTCTTCCTAATGCCTTTTCTCTAAATAGCTACCTTTAGTATTCACAGTGGCAATACATTTTGTAGTCCTCACATCCCAGATGCGAATGGTTTTATCTCCAGATGCCGTGACAAAGAGATCAGGATTACTTGGATGCCAACAAAGCTGATCCACACTATCCCCATGTCCCCGATAGTTGTTTTCTTTGACCTGAGAGAACAGGATCTTGATGTTATTTGCCTCCACATGCATCATACAAACCAAGGTCTAACAAAGAGCTGGATAATTCAAAAGAATCCAGTTCTTCCAAAAGAAAATCCAAAATCTGCTTAAATATCTTCCTTTCCTTCCTCAATTACTCTTGAACTGTTCTGAGCTACCACAGTAGGTGCTCCTTTTTGCTCTTCCTGGCCTCCTTTCTGGTTTTCTACCCTTACTCTACCACCAAGCCGAGCCACCCGCTACAGGGCCTCCACCAACCCAAAAGCTCTGGGACACTCATTTTCACTGGATTCCTCACCACCACAACCCCCCCACCCTGTTCCATCTATCCTCTTGGTCTAGTTTAACTTCATCTCTAACTTCGTCTAACTTCATCCTCTCCTCACTGCACTCCCTTCAGCACCACATTTCACTAACACGCTCCCCACGTACCCCGACCTTCCCCCTCCTCATCACCAGTCTTTCCTTTCCCCTTGCCGCTTACTCCTCTTTCCTCCCAGCACACAACCTCCTTCATCTCCGCACTCTCGTCCCATTAACCCAACTACCCCTCCCTGCCCCACACCCCTCTCCCTGGCCAGGGCAAGGCCCAGCAGCTCACCAACCGGTCCTTCTCTAGCAAGAAGACGCTGGCCGTCTTGTCAAAGGATCCCGAAGCTAAGCGACGACCGTCGCAACTCCAGGCCACCGAGTGCACCTTGGCACTGTGAGCCGGGAACTCGCGCGTTTTACTGTGACCACGGAACAGTTCCTGCATTCCAAGCACGTAGCGCGACGGGCCGCTGCTCACTGAGCACCAGGGGGCCATGGAACCTTGACCACTCTGGCCCAGTGCCGAAGGGCCCATAGCTGCCGCGGGTACAGCCATGCCGAGACCCCGGCGGACCAAGAGCGGCCCTCTCCGCTAGTCAGTTCTGGCGCCGCTGCCGTACGCATGCGCTCGGAAGAGCGCCCGTGCGCTTGCGTAGGCGCGCTGCGGCCCGCCCAGAAAGGGACTACAAATTCCGGCATGCAGCGCGAATCGGTTTCTGCCCTCTAAAATAGTAAGGATTCCATTATAAATTTGCTTCGTTATGAACGACTCTGATATTTTTAGGGTCTTACTTCTACTTTACCTACTTCTTGGCGAATATGTTTGTACTATTTAATTGAGGAAGGGAACCAACGTTCCAATTCACCCATCAGTAAATACTATATGTGGAATTGTTTCTCACCTCCCTCCCTCTCGTTTTGAGCAGCAGCTCTGGCCTAGGAGGACCTTACTGAAAGTGTTAGGGATAGGTGGTAGGCAGAAGTTGAGGAGGGGATCTGGGTTTGTTTTGTTTGTTTTGTTTTTTGTTGGCTTTTTTGTGCGTGGGGGGTGATAGTACATGCGATTTATTGTAAATGCAAAAAATAATGAAAAGTACATATGCCCCCCCGACATCTCTTGAATTTTCCCCACTTCACAGTTCCCATAAACGAGATATGTTGTGGTTGTCAGGGCAAACCAAGACCCTGGAGAAGAACAGGGCGCAGGGTGGGTGTGGGGGAGAAGTCAGTTGTGAGTTTAAGAACAAAGATTTGTGAATCTGCAATTATCTCAAATTAAAAGTTTTAGGACTAGGAGTGTAGCTGAGTAGTAAAGCACTTGCCTAGCATGGAAAAGGTCCTTGTGGGGTCCCCAGCCCTACAAATATAAATATGTTCTAAAACACACCTTTTGCTTTAAAAAAATTTTAAACATGTAATGAATGTACAAAGTACTAAAGAAAATCGTGTAAGACTCAAAGTCTCACTTCCACTCCACGGAGCGTGAACAGGCGGAAGGGCCTCCACGATGCTGAGCCCTAAAACCCAGCGAGGCTCCGGGAGCTCCACGGAGAAACGAGAAACCCAGGAGGGAACACACCAAGGCTAGACGGTAAATAGACCTTTATTAGTCTGGCCAGACAGCACTCTCACAGCCAAGTAGCTGGCTCAGAGAGGCACCAGCTCAGGGATTGAGGTCCTTTTTATAGAGGTTTAAAAAAGGGGAGGCTAACATTTTAGGCTTGCAGGCAGGGGACAAAGGTCTGCTGATTTGACCTGGTGGTCAGCAGCCACTTACTCGACAGTCACATATTGATGAGTAACAGATACCACCCATAGGATGTTTCAAAGGTCACCAAGACATTTTGGATGAGCAAACAGTTTGACAGTTAACTTGGGGTCTCTCTATGTCTAGAACCACTAACTTACACATTAATTCGGATCCGGACTTCAAACAGTACAAGATTGCCTTACATTCCTAAGCCAGGGTTAGAACAAAGGTCGGGGCTATGGCTACAATGAGAGGGGGTCAGAGCACCGTCTCCTAGGCCCTTTGTCATTTAGCATGGGCTTGTAATTTAGGTCTTACAGTAGAGTAAAAAAAAAAAAAATGTTCTCTGTCCTCTGTCCTCTAATTCCCCTTTTCAACCAAAATTGTTAACTTTCTTTTGTGGCCTCCTGGGTTAGGGTAAATTAGCACCTGGGCAGAGGTAGATACTAAAACCTTTTACCAAAAATATGGCACCCCTTACATAATTTGTTTTCCATGATATATAATATTTACTTATTCCTTTTGGAATATGAGATACCTCTTAATAGATACAATCTTTAATTATATGGATATAAAATAGTTTATTCAACTTTACTTGGATAGCTGTTGCCAGAACACCTGTGAGGAGATTTTCAGAGCCTCCACCTCCACCAGCCGTATAAAGGAGGGTCGCTGTCACTGGGAAGTGACTCCCAGTCTGAATAATGTGGGGTATGCCAAGTTCATGTCACTAGATAGCCAAAGAATGGACTCAAGGACAGAGGAGGATAAGAGTTGGAAAATTTTATTGAGAGAAAGCACCTGAGAGACAGGAAAGTAGATTGGTATTATTTGTTTTGTTTTTAATAAATTTTATTTTATTTTATCCCATTCCCTCTCAGTCCCCTTTCCTCCCTATGAACAAAGCATTGTTTCCACTTTTTCCCATTTTCACTTTTTTCTTTTCACTTCCTTTCTCACTCCCTCCTCCCTGTTCCCCTTCCCATTGAAACACTTTCTTCCCATTTCCCAACACCCATTATGCATCTCAGTCCTTAAATCCACGTTCAGTTTCTCACATCAGAGAAACAATGCACTATTTGAACATGTGTCCAGTTTATTTCACTGAAGAGTATAGTCTCAGGGTCCCTCCATTTAGCTATAAATACCTGAATCTCATCCTTCTTTATGAAAGAGTAGTATTTAAAAAAAAATCTTTATCCACTCATCAGTTAATAGGCATTTGGGCTGTTTCCAAGATTTAGCTATTACAAACTGTGCTGCTCTAAACATGGATGTGTATATATTGCTGTGGTATGCTGTTTTTAATTCTTTCGGGAAGATACCAAGAAGAGGTATAGCTGGGTCAAAAGGAACCTCTAGCTTTAGTTCTTTGAGAAATCTCCACACTGATTTCCACAGTGGTGGCACCAGTCTTCACTCTCCCACCAGCAGTAGAGAAGGATTCCTTTTCCCCCACAGCCTCTCCAGCATCTGTTACTGGTTGACTTCACGTCTGGAGGTTTTTATACATGAAAATGACCATGTCTCAGACCACTCTGGACCAAGCTATGGGCTTACAAGAATAGTAGCTTAGCTAATATTGATTGAATAGGAAAGAGAGACACAGAGAGAGGCTACATGGTGGGCACCACTAACTTCAGCTTATCTCTAACTTCTAACGGAAGAAGAGCAAAGGCACTTTGGGGAAGTGATAGGAGTCTGGGCTAGGGTGTTCTGGTTACCCACCCATGCCCTGGACCATCTGGTGCTGATTACAGTACAATCTCAAGCTGCTGTCTATCACTGGCAAGGTTTGCAGTCCTGCCTCTTTGCCAGTTTGTCTCCTGCCACAATTTTGAAGTGTCTTATCTTCTGCACTGACTTCTCTCTCTCTGGCTGCCTGTTAATTTCTATCTAACTTAGCTGTCTATAATATCATAAGTACTAAATGATCACTCATAAAGCATGTACCACACAGGACCTTAGAAATTGAAGGCCCTTTCTTTCTCCAGTTCTTTTTCCTACTCTCTTGCAACCAGAAATTCTTGAAAACTGCAAAACTTCTCAGACTTGAAAAACACCAAATTACTAAAATCTTCAGGTAGGAAACTACTTGGTACCTAGTTTTCCCTCCTTATCCTTTCCAAAAATCTTCAAATGATAGGATACTTGTTTTTCCCACCTACAGTGATGATTTATATCCCCTTAAGGAAAGGAAACTAAAGAAGAAAAAGGTGAAATGTCCTTCTCTAAGTTGTACAATGCATATATTACAGAGAAAATATTAGAACTCAAATGTTACCAACTCCAAAATTTATAATCTGATCCTTATTATCTGAAATGATGTTGTAAATGTGATTCCTGGCATTTTGTATAAATTTTTATTTTTGTGTGTTTAAATACTTTTATTTCATTTTCTTTGTGTTCCTTTTTCATATGCTGTAAACACAAAGGTTAGAACCTCAGTTGTGTAAGTGTATAATTCCACTGTTCTTGACTTGTCTCAGTCAATAGCTGATATAACATTCTAAGTAGGAGTAGCATGTAAGTGGGGCAACCATGAGACTGAAGTCAGAGAATCTCAAAAGGGAGATAAAATTCAGGTGGATAAAATCATGGGCCATTTAAAAAATATTTTATTTGGAAAAATTCAAAGTTACAAGACTAATAAAGAACAATGCTTTTTCATGTGCTAGACTCACCTAGGTTTAGCATGTTCCATTGATCTCTCAGCTTTCTCTCTACATTACTACTCTGTTGTTTGAATGCAGATTGAGTATAAGAAGGGAGAGAAGGATAAATAGACTGAGCACAGAGGATTTTAAGGGCAGTGAAATTCTATTGTATAATACTATAATGGTGGATGCATGTCATTTTATATTTGTCAAAATCAAAAGTTAACCCTAATGTAAACAATGGAACATAAGTGATAATGACAGGTTAATGTAAATCCATTGATTACAAGAAATGTACCAGTTGGGCATGCTGGTGCAGCCCTATAATCCCAGCGCTCTTGGAAGTTGAGGCAGGAGGATCACAAGTTCAAACCAGCTTGGACCACTTAGTAGCTCAGCCAGACCCTGTCTCAAAACTTTTTATAAAAATTAAAGCCTGGGCATAGTGGTGCATGACTATAGTCCCATCACTCAGGAGGCTGAGGCAGCAGCATTGCCATGAGTTCAAAGCCAGCCTGAACTACATAGTGAGACACTGGCTCAAAACAACAAGACCAAAAAAAAATTTTTTTTTTAAATTAAATTTTAAAAGGTGGCCTGCCTGGGGATGTAGCTCAGTGCTAAGGACCTAGGTTCAACCTCCAGTATAAAAAAAATAATAATATTGATAAAAAGAAGGGTTATACATGCATGAAGACAAGAGATTAGTAAAAATATATAGACAATTTCTGTAGTCAATTTTCTATAAATCTAAAACTCTTAAAAATAAATCTATCTTTAAAAGACATAGTTATCATATGGATTTTTATAAATAGGATTCAACTATGTGCTCTTTTTTTCTTTTTCTTTTTTTTTTTTTTTGCTTGCAAGGCAGGTGGTGGAACCACTGAGCTAAATCCCCAGCCCTCATCTATGTGCTCTCCATAAGAGGCTCGCTTTACCCTAAGTCAAAGCATAGGTTGAAAGTGAAGGGGTTGAAAAGATGCTCCATGCAAACTGTACCCAAAAGACATTTAAGTGAAAAACTATAAACAAAGGAGAACATCATGTGATGATAAAAGTGTCAATTTAACAAGATAAATAACTATAAACATTTATGCAATAAATATCAGAGCTCCTAATATATGAAGAAAACATTGACAGATTTGAAAAGATAAATAGATTACTTAGAAATAATAGTAAGAGGAAAAAATAATGGATAACAAAATAGTTTCC